TTTAAGGCCAACTTAAACGTATTGCATTGACAGTGATGAACTTTGTTTCACTTCACGAGTTTCTCCAATAAAATTTACATTAGGTCACATCTGTTACAAGAGTCATCCTTTTGTGTCTGATAATTACAATAACTTCTGCTCAATTTAGCCTCAAACTTAAACCTGGAAAAATAATTGTGTGAGCCACTGTATACATGACAGATAACCGACAGCAATATTTTGAAAACTAGTTTTATTTAAAAAAAAATAGCAATACGACTTGGTTAGATATATTTATCAAATTAAGGAAGTAGTAGTGTTTATTCGATCATTTATGGATCTTTTTGTTCAACTGAATTTATATTATTTAATTCTTTTAGGTTGAGGCTGAAAAACGTGATCCACATAGTACAAATCGAATACCAATGGGTCGAATACCTCATATGTGGGGTCAATCTCTTTTTATTTTGGCTATGCTTGTTAAAGAAGTACATTAATTTTACTTTATCATTGAAATGATTATTTTTTTTTGAATGTTTTTAAAGGGTTTCTTAGCACCTGGTGAACTTGATCCATTAAATCGACGTCTTATAACTGAACCAAAACCTGAAGGTTTTGTTCAAGTTTGTGTATTAACTGATAGTGACGTTATACAATCAAAATTAGCTTCAGTTGGTATACATATTCAACAAATAAAAGATCTTGAATTAATACAAGTTCGATCAGTACAAGTATTACAAAATATTTATTCACATCTTGGTATGAAACTCATATGAAAAAACAACAATTATTTTATGTTATATATATATAATATTATTTTTAAGGAAAAAATGAACGTCTGGGTCTTACTGGTCGACCATCATTTGATATGGGTCCATTTTCAACATCAAAACTTTATACAATATGTGGAAGAACATTAGCATTTACGCCATCGGTCAGTTTGTTTTTTTTTTCATAAGTTTTAAAACAATAATGTTTCCTGTTTTAGTTTATGGATCAAAATACATTCTATTTAGCATCTGATATAGATTATATAATAGATCGTTTTCGTACTTATATGTCATTTCTAAATAGAAATTGGAATAATATAACAGGACGACCTGTTGTTGTATTTATATTACGTTCAGATTTAATAGATGTCGATCCAATACCTAAAAATGTTATACAAACATTAAAGAAAATAAAAGTTGGTTATACCAATGGTGTACGAGTACAAATGGGAAAATTAGAAGATTTTATAAATACATCATGTGTAACAAGTCTTGATTTTGTTTTTCGTGAAGATGATGATGAAGATCCTGAAGATAAATTAATGGAATTGTTACAATCAAGTTCAGATTTTAATCAAATGTCAAACTTTTTATCCTATCAAAATATTGATTATCGTTATCAAAAACGATATCGAATTAAAAAATTAGCACAAATACGTGGTGCTGTTAAACGTAGTTATAGTTATAGTCATCATGCAAGTGATGGTACTATAGCACAAAATATTCTTAATTCAAATATTGCTGATGATCAAGATGATCAAAATGATACAAATGTTTTAAATCATATACGTGTTGATGAACATACCCTATCAACATCAAATAGACGTGATAATTTATTAAGAGATAAAGAAGTACATGATATTATTGCTCTCCTTCCACATGCTTCATCTATACATGATCAAGCAGATATTTTACATTATTTATGTATGAATAAGTAAGTAAAATTAGATTTCTTTGTTCTGAAAAGAAAATTTCAGATATATTTTCCATCCAATCGAATTACAATTCCGAACACTCGTATTTTCTTTTATTGGAAACTGAAACATTGCGTATATAGAGAACTGAACTAGACTAACTATAGCAAACGAATTTAAAAATTTTGAAAGTCTGATACCACGAAGAAACTTTTCTTCGAAATTTCTAAATACTTGTTATGTTAACTAGTCTAATTGAGTCTCTGCATTCGATAATACGAGTTTTTCGAAAACTTGGAGCCTCTTGAAAAACCTCGATAATTTAGTCAAAACACAAATCCTTTTAAGGCTTTTATTACAAAACTATGTAGTTAAGTACTTTTATTTTTACCTAGATATTTATATAGCCATGTCCTTGGAGTACGATGATATTTTCAAAATATAGTTGTCCTTTTACCAAAATACCTCTTCGACTTCTTAAATTTATACTAAAAACGAATTAGTTTAGCACATATTGAGAGATGACACATAGGTCAAAACAATTGATGATCAACATTGACTATCTATTCTTTTAGAAAGAAATATTGTCAATAAAACCTATAATAAATGTATTAAAAAAAAATACTTCAATTTAGGCCTATCACTGGCAAAAATATTTTTAAATAAAACTTCCAAAATAAAAAAAAAAATTTTAATTTTATTATTTCTACAGAGGTATTGAATTTGAATTTGAACATAATGGACATCATGTAACAGTTCGTGACCTTATTCAAGAACTTTATAATCGTGCATGTAAACAACGTGTTTGGTGGTGTGTACGTCATTCTGCTGGTATGTTAGGAATGCAAAATCAAAGTATTGCTCAAAGTTTAATTGCTATACTTGCACAACAAAAACAGTTAACTATTGGTTTACCACCAGCACCACGTGAACATGTTTTAACAAGTCCAATGACAGTTGAACAATTATATAATACAATAGTAGCAGCAACTGGAAATGATCCAACAATGGTTATGTTAACACAAGAAATATTAGTATTTTTACATACATTTATTAGTACTGAACCACAATTATTTGCTGGTATGATACGTATACGTGTAGGTCTTATTGTACAAGTTATGCTTGGTGAATTAAAACGTACATTACAATCATCTGATGAAGATACAACAGATCATTTATTGAATTTAAGTCCGTATGAAATAAAATGTTTATTACATATTATTTTAAGTGGTAAAGAATTTGGTATAACTGAACATTCAACAAAACCAGCACCAGAATTCGCAGATTTATCTAAACAAGAACGTGATATGCGTATTATACGTAATGAAATTAAAGAAGCAAGTACCAAAAAATTAAGTGTTCATTTAAATTGGGGTGATCATCCATCGGAAGATGATGATGATGATGTTGGAAAACATGGTCAATGGATTCGTCGACGGCGTCTTGATGGTGCTTTGAATCGTGTACCTGTTCGATTCTATGGACAAGTTTGGCAAACACTTGAAAAGGTGAATATTTCAATGTCAATGAATCATATATATACATATATATGAAAATGGAGTTTTGTACGTATGACTTATAACTCATGTGGATACACTAAGCATTCGAAATATCAAAAAAGACGTTATACAAATAGAAATATGATTATTAGATAAAAAGTTTTCCATGATTATATATTTATTTCTAACTAATCAATATTAGAATCAGGTTGATATTCATGTCAAGAAAGTTTACTGGTGAATTGAATAAACGTACGATTATTTCGACTTCATGTCCTGAATAAAATTGAATGATCCATTGATTTCAGAACTTTGCTTTAAAAATTTTACTAAATAGGATATTTCGAAAATGCTTATTGATATAGGGTATAATAAGAGCTATAATTCAATTTGAATTCTTATAAAGTTTAGATAACTGATGAGGAAGTATTTAATATATGTATATGTTAGTATTTAGAAGACGTCAGATTGATTCCAAATCTGACCGAGTCAAAAATCTTGAAACTAACAGGTTCTACTCAGCATAGGTCTTGTGAACATGATCTTTAGTTCAATCTTATTATGTTAAATACGTGTTTTTTTTGCTATTGATTATTTTAGTGTAAAGGTATTAAAATAGCTGATTATATTCTGTATAACAGTTTAACACAAGAAATGACTCAAGAAGAAATTAAATTTGCATTACGTGTTGAGGAAGCTCTTAATCGTGTACCATTTACTGAATATCGACAACTGATTGTTGAAGCTTGTGTTATATTAACATCAATCGCACTTGGTGATACTCGGTAAATTTTATAATTTCATCATAGTTATTTTCTTTTTCTAATGTTCTATTTATATTAATATTTCTATAGATTTCATTGGGATGAAATAATTAGTATTGAAGATATTGTTTCGACAGCCAATGAAATATTTTTACGAGATCAACGAGCATCAGGTGGCGATGCAACAAAATGTTGTGCTAGTGGTAATCCATGTGGATCAGCAGCTGGTATTTGTTTACATTTTTATGATTCAGCACCGAGCGGACGTTTTGGAACAATAAATTATTTTTTACGTGCACTCCTAAAAATTCTACGTGTTGATGAAACAACTGTATGTTCAATTAGTTAAGAATTATGTTTTTCTTTCGAATTTTCACCTTTAAATATATTATCTTGATTGGTTATTTTCTTGATTACACCTACACTACTTTTTTCTCTTTGACTTTTTTTCAAACCTGTTTACAAATATGTATTTCTAGAAAACTTATTAATTTCGTTTTATTTTTAATATTCGATTCATTAAACTCATGTAGTATCTTCTTTTTTTTTCATGCTTTATCAAACTTGGATACGACAATAAGTATAATGTTTCAACAGTTGCTTCGTTATTTTTAATTTTTCTTTGAATACATATTCATCATGTCCTTTTCTTTTTTGATATTCTCGTTTTTTTTTCTTGTTATCATTGTATTTGTTGTATTAGTAGCTGGTTCATCTTTCCCATACAACAAAGTTCATAAAAGTCTAGTCAAATAACTCAACAATCAATTTTCAGTATCTTTTAACGGACAATACGAATGACAGACTAGATTTTGAAAACTATGTAGTCTATAGTCTAGCGAACGAGAAATATCAATAAAATAGTACAATAATAAATGGTTAAAACTTTTTGGAACGGGTTGCTTCTATAAATAAAATTATTATAGACAATAATTACCAAAAGAAATAATTTAGATTTTTGTTTTACTTTTATTTCTCTAATAATAAATTACAAGAAAAAAAAAACACGTTATCAAAAACTATACAAGAGAATGCAAAAACATGACTATGTCTCTGATAAAAACATTGCTGACTTTATTTCTTCTGATTTTCAATTGATTTTGTCGCTTCCTTTTGTTCAATATACGGTGCTTCGATTTTCAATTGTCCATCATCAGTTAAACTTGATTGTAATTGATCAATTTGTGTACCAGGTGGTAATGTTGTGGATTTAAAGAAGAAGAATCGTTCTGAACGATTCTTATCTGTATGTTGACGTTCACCTTGAATAATTAATTCATTATTTTTAACTGATACTTTTATTTCATCTGGTCGATAATTTGTTCATTCCGATTGACATTTCAAGTTGTTTTTGATTATTATCTTTATCAACAATACGTGGTTGAAAATCTGAACCAGTCAAAAATCCAACATAATCAAACAGAGGATCACGATATTGACCAAATTGTGCTAAACTTTGATTATCATTCTTTGCTTGAGCAACCCATCGCTCTGCTTTTGGATTATGAATAGGTACTTCAATGACAAGCATATTATTTGGAGTTACATATGAAGCTAAACGTGTAGAATCTATATGGAAAAAAGCACATTTATGAATACAAATGTTTGATAAGAAAATAATTTTTCTACTTACCAGCATGTTCAGGTAATTCATATGTTTTTCGTAGTTCTCGAATATTATAATCGCCATCAGATTGACGATCTTCTTGTTTAGCTTCAACAATTACTTTTCTACCGTCAACTTTTGTTTTAATTGTTTCTGGATTGAAACCAGCTACATTGAGTTGAACACGATATTTTTCAGCATTTGGTGATCGTGATGTTGGTGTTAGGCTTTTTCTATCTTGTGATTTATTACTTGATGAATGCGTTAATCGATATGGTTCATTGATCCATCGAAAAGCATTTGGTCGAATAGAAAGAGCTTATGGAAATGTATCAAAATCATACCATGGATCGAAGAAATCCAATTGATCGCCAAAGAATCGATCAAACGGATCGTCGAAAAGAAGATAATGACGAATTGGAAAGAATGTCATCGCTTTGTAGAGGATGTGTTAAGAGAGTTTAATAATCGCAGTTGAACTTTCAAACGACTGATTAGGCCCATGTACTCACCCATATATATAGGCCGGGTAATTGAATATGAGTACATCGTAGAATATTCGCGAATACTCTTGGTCGATCGTTGTCATTTCAGGTTTTTCGCTTTCTGTTCTTTCTTTCGTTTGTTACATGTTCTTTTCTTTTCTATTAACAAAAATAGATGATAATGGACACGTGCGCAAAAGAAAAAAAATTTTATTACTATGGTTCGCACGTTTTCTTAGTATACTCTATTTATGTTCAAAAATCGTCTTGTATCAGAAGTAGTGGTGTATCCAGGGGAGGGGCTAGAGGGGATGGCGCCCTCCCACTCGAGATCCCCCCCCCCCCCCCACCGATGAGGAAAAGTACTAAATAAATGTACAGAGAGTCTTTGAAAACAATGGGGCACCGCCGCGAAAAATGGGGTTTTGCCCTCCCACCGACGATTTTCTGGTTACGCCACTAATTAGAGGGCGTTTAATTTCTAGCAGTAGTTTATAATAATTTAGTTCATCAAAGATTCAATAATTAATATATTCTTTCCGATGAAATTTGATGTGATTTTATGTAAACATTTTAACCAAACCCATATGCACATTATAACTTAATAATGAAAATTATAGAATAAATATTTGGAAAATCTTATCTGTTAGTCATTCACAATTTCGATTAGTGAATAGAAGAAACTTTTCAGATATTAATACATAAGATCAAATTATTTTACAACTAATTATCATGATAAACCATTACAATCAAAGAAATTTACAGTGGGTCTATAGTGTTTTGACTTAAGTTCTAATTTTGCAATCCGTGATAAAATAAATAAGAAAGAAAATTTGATTTGTTAGACTTTATGTAACAAGAAGATACTGATTTGTACTATGTCTCAAAGTGAAAATCTACTATATCAGACATGTTACTAAGAGAGACGGATGAAAAGATATATTGTGGTCATGGAATTCTTTGAAAAGATTTGCACAGATAACTGATATTCATCTCTATTGAATGATGTCGTTTACATTAGATGAAGGAGACACGCCATTCTTTTCAGAGTCTTTGGAAAAATACTGATCAGAAATATTCAAAGTTTTACAACAGAGAGACCTCAATGAATAGAACAACATTTTTCACAGATTTCAAATTCTGTAATTATTTCCTTCGAGAAAATATCTAGCTGACAAAGGCTAATAGTTAATCTATTTTTTCCAGCCCGAATAAGTCAACTAGAGCTGGAGTTTTTCGCAGATTCTAGACACTGTTAGGAATACCTACCGTTTTTTCAATCTCTTCTTATCTCCTTCTTTATGAATGGAAAGGTCAAACTACCGGATGGACATTGAAAAACTCATACTACTTATACTAAAGCTTTTTGGAAAATCTGCTAAAGATCAAAAGTACAATTTCTTTTTAAATAAAAAACGGTAGACATCCAAACAGTATTCAACAACTGGAAAAATAATTCCAATTCGATTGAACTTATTATGTCAGAGAATGAGAAATAATCATTATCATTAATAGAATTTTGTGTGAAATTAAAATACATATGTATCAGATTTTGCTTTCACAATACTTATATTACTAACTTATAATCATCGATCCAATTTTTGGAGTAATAATACTTTTTAACAACGACCTCTATGAAAGACTGGTCTGATTGTTTATTACAATTTAAAATGAAATTTATCTTTTTATACATTGGATAGTATAAAAGAAACGGAACATTCATAATCAAGTTGTAAGATTATTTTGAATCTTATTTTTGTTCTCAACATGCCAGTATCAAGAATTATATCATCAAGTTCTTCAAGTGAAAATGAAAATTTTGATGAAGAATGTAATCCAACATCATCTGAAGATGTTTTTAAAATTTTAATTACAACAGATAATCATCTTGGTTATGCTGAACGAGATGATGAACGTAGTAATGATGCTTTAATAACATTTGAAGAATGTCTTCAAATAGCACGGGATGAGAATGTTGATTTTATTTTACTTGGTGGTGATCTATTTCATGATAATAAACCATCCAATCATGTTATGCTTGAATGTATTAATTTATTACGAAAATATTGTCTTGGAGATAAAACAATTGAATTTAAATTAATAAGTGATGAAAAAATAAATTTTTCTTCAACTGTTCAATCAAATCCATTTCCATGGGCAAATTTTAAAGATCCAAATTTAAATGTTAGTACTCCAATATTTTCTATACATGGGTATAAAAGATTGTTTCTTTTTTATTGTTTTGACAAAAATTATTGAATAATATAATTTTTTATTTTAAAGAAATCATGACGATCCATCAGGTTCAACACCACTTTGTCCACTTGATTTACTTAATTCATGTGGTTTAGTTAATTATTTTGGAAATTTATCATCATTAGAAAATATTGATATACATCCATTACTTTTTCGTAAAGGAGAAACAAATTTAGCTATTTATGGTCTAGGTTCAATACGTGATGAACGTTTACATAGAATCTTTCTTAAAAATCAAATTAATTTACTTCGACCAACAAATAATCCTGATGATTGGTTTAATATATTTGTTATACATCAAAATCGTGTTGCACATGGACCAAAAAATTATATTCCAGAACAATTTTTACATGAATTTCTTGATATTGTTATTTGGGGTCATGAACATGATTGTAGAATTACACCGGAATTTAATACAGTACAAAAATTTTTTGTTATTCAACCTGGTTAGTTTTATTTAATTGATGATTTTGATATTCTATCGAGGTAGAAAAATTCTTTAATGAATCGAAAAATGAAAAAAGAACTGATTATTAGAAGATTTTTTTTTTTTATAAAAAAAAAAAAGCTTGATTTTAAGTTTTTCAACATTCAACAGGCTTTTTAATTGATAAGGAAGCTTTTTTCGGCTGAAAATGGCTCGAATTCTGACTTTTGAACTACATTGGCTATTGATACTTCATGTATAACTAGCTAAACATTGTTTTTCATATGCTTCTAAACGTTCTAGATAGCCAAAATGCTTTTGATCATATGTTGTTCTTAACAATATGTGTATATGTAGGACATTTCGAATTGTTTGTTTTTCATGACATCTGCAAGCTTCTTATGAAAAAATGTTTTTAATTGATCAATTGTTTTCTTACCAAACATCTACTGGATTATGACCTATTGACTAAGTTGGTGTTTTAGATTAATAAATATTTTGCCAAAACTATTTTTGTTCTACTTAGCCGATAGAGTAAATGGACTTGTCTATAAGATAAAAATCTTTTCTGTTGTTCAAAAATGAGTTTTTATAAAACAATATCATATCGAAATTTTTTAGATTGAAAATGTTCATATGTATCTATTGTATGAATTCAAATGACGGTATTTTCTGTCAAAAAATGATTGAAAAAAACAAAAGAACGCTATCATTTTCTAAGTGATTCTATATGATCTATTATCTGGACAAGTCCAAAAGAATTTTTGACAGAAATTTCATTAGTTTCAGAAATCAGTATATGAAAATTTAAGAGGATTTCTCATAGTTGATTACCTACAATTCATTAGTTTTCGATGAGAAAGTAATGGATCAGTTGACAATGTATCCAAATTGAGAAATACATTGAAAAGAAGGTAAATCGTCTTAGAAAGACAAAACAAATAGCTTGGTAGTTTTCATGTCACACAAATCTCAATCTATGTACATGTAATCTGATCGTATATAGCACAGCATGGGGGTGAGAGCAGCATGTGAAAAATGAAAAAGTACTTTATAGAATGGATAAGTATGTAATTTTTATTTCTTGTATTGCGACTATTGGTGGCAGAGCACAATTGCCGTAAACCCTACGAGGTTTCAAAATCCATGAATAACAAGATTTTTCTTTTAAGCTACTGTTAACTTCAAGAACTATACACCAGAAAATGTGCATGTTAGAATCAGATAAACTAATTGTGAGTTAAATTATCATCATACAATTGCGTTTGCTGAGAAGCGTTGATCAAGATATTCAAGCGTGTCTAGTTTAATTCTTCTCGCTATTGCTATTTCGTATTACAGTATTTATATATTTTGAACTTAGTATATATAATCTTTCATGGAGATTAATATTTGTTCGTCCGAATCCTATCGGTTTTGAATTTCTTTCTTTTCTAATTAGTACAAATTGTTTGATATCACATTGATATTTTGTTTTTCTATTCATGAAAAAGGTAGTACAGTTGCAACATCCTTAAGTGAAGGAGAACAATTACAAAAACATGCTGGTATTCTTCATGTTTATAAGAAAACATTTAAAATGCATCGGCGACCATTACAAACAGTTCGACAATTTTATTTTGTTGACATTCAATTGACTGATCATATTGATGAAAAAGCATTTAAAACATTATCAAATACTAAACTTGAACAAAAACTTGACAAACTTTTAACTGATACAGTACGAAAAAAAAATCTATTCTTTGCATAATAAAATTCTTTTTTTCTTTGTATCAACAGATAAATGAATTACTTATGCGTGCTCAAAATGAACATAGTGGCCATCCAAAACAACCTAGAAAACCGTAAAAACAATTCATCCTTTTTGTGTTTTACATAGGTTTTTTTAAATTTTTTAATAATTATGTAATATAGTTTAATTCGTCTTCGTGTTGATTATACTGGTTTTGATTTATTTGATTCATTTAACGATATTCGTTTTGTTCAAAAATTTTCTGATCAAGTTGCTAATCCAAAAACAATGATTAATTTATATAAAAAACGTGAAAATAATATATCAAAATCAAATGAAATCAAACTTGATCCTGATGCTATTAAAGTTTCTAATGAACAATTTCAACATGCACAACGTGTTGAAGATTCTATTCAAACCTATTTTGAATCAACGACAGAAGTAATAAAAAATTTTTTTTTCTAAATAATTATTTTGTTTTTTTAATATTAGAATAATCGTTTACGTTTACTTGACGAAAAATCAATGTTAGCAGCATTAACTGAATTTATTGATAAAGATGAAATTTATGCATTAAGTACAATGGTTGAAGCACAAATTGAACAAAGTCAAGTAAAGATTTTATTTGATAGAAAGGAAAAATTTTTATTTTTAATCATTATTTTTATTTTCTAGAAATTTCTTTCTAATAATATACATAATGATGATGTAGCTTTTCTTGAAGATGAACTTAAACGTTTCAAAACACTACAAAATGCTGATGACGATGAAGCTATAAAAAGACGAAAAAATGTATTAATCATGGCTCGACAAGAACGCCTTAAAGCTTCTGGAGATAAATCAAGTGATGATGAAATTATGATAACAGAATCAATAAGAAACAATAATGAAAATAGTAATGATGATGATGATGATGATGATGATTTTGATCGAAACTCAATCAAAACAACGCAAAAACGAACTCAATTATCAACCAAAACACGTGGTGCTACTCGTGGACGGGGACGAGGTCGAGCAAAAACAACACCAACAAAAACTCCTCGTAATAAAAAAAAACCATTTTAATGATCGATTTCTTTTTTTTTGGGTATCTATGTTATCTAGTCAAGATTATTTCTTTTTCTTTTTCTTTTTCTTTTGTTCATACTTTCTTATGATATGCTCTTTGTGATGTTCTTATTTCTATAGCGGCAACAAAAACAAAACAAAACATTGAAAATAAAATTGCAACGAAAAAAAAGAAATATTTTCATCCATGCAACAGTAATCACAGATGTTAGCTTGAATTAGATAACTAGTAAATTTCTTCATTGACATAAAAATTGCTTCGAAGTGATACTATATATTACCGAAACTAGAACTTGGCGATTCCATTTTTCGAACCGCCAAACCATAGCTGAAAAAATTGCAAAGAAACACTGTGTCAAAGCATATAATTGATGAAATTTTAATAGTTTTAATTGAATAATAAACTTAAGTCGAGTGAACTGCATATGAAAGATAGACATTTTATCTTTTTCGTTAAACAATCTGATAATGTTATAATTGTTTCTTATGAATTATACTAATAAGTCCTTACAGCTAGAGGTAATCAAGTATTTATTTTTGTGTGGCGGTAGCGGTCCACAACTTAATTCACAGGTAAAAGAAATACTAAGTATCATTTTAAAATTAACATTGATTTTCAAATAAGAGAAGTTTTTGTTTATTAAAATAAGCAAATAATAAAAAGAAAATTTATTCTGTAACTTGATTAATAGAATTATAAAGTTTTTGAATATTGTCTTTTGCTTTATGTTTTAATAATAGATTTTCATCTTGAAGTAATTGATATTCTTCATTAAGTTTATTCAATTCAGCTAATTGTTCTCTGTGATTATCAAATTGTGGTTGATCAATATTTATTGTTTCAATATATTTTTCATTTATTTTTTGTTGGTCAATAATTTTCTCAACTAATTGCATAAGGAATTCTTGTCGTTGTTGAAATCTTGAATAATAATCATTAGTTTGATGTTTTATTCGATTTTGTTCATGATAAAAACGTTCGATTAAATTTGTTCTTTGATTTATACTTGATTTTACAGCATTAATTAGTTCAGTACAATACATCATTGGATCTGTTGATATTCCTATGTTCGATGAACGTGGTAAAATCTATAAAAAAAAGTAATT